CTACAATGATTATGAAACATTAGGCTTACACTATCTTGACCTCTTACTAAGAAAAGCATTTTTTTTATTGGTACTCTATTTCCTTATTTACATACTAGAGGCCCTGTGCATGAAAATTCATGCACTGGGGGTGGGGGGTGGGGTGAGTCCCTCAGCCCGGCTTCCTCCCTCCCCTCTCACAGTATGGAAGCCCTCAGAAGCGGGAGGCGACCAGCAATCAGGGGAAGGTGATGCACCCATCTCCCCCTCTGCTGCTGCCACTGCCGGCAGCACAAGCCTCAGCCAGCCCTGGTTACCTGAGCCTCAGGCAGCCCTGGGCAGCTGGGCAGCCAACACCTGAGGCTTGCCTGTGCCTCACAATCCCTGGGCAGCTCAGGAGTTGAGGGTGGATCTGGCTGCACTGTGTGCCTGCCGCCTCCTCCCAGCTGAGCTGAAAGGACTGAGTGACTCCAGAAGGGCTGAGGGGACTGCATGTCACCATCTTATGGCTATAGGCACCACCATCTTTGTGATGGCATGACAGTCAATTTGCATATTCTCTCTTTATTAGATAGCACTAGAGGGGTCCCTCAGATTGGCCTCTGGGATTAGGCTGAAATTAAGCTCTTCAACATTCCCTGAGGGGTTCTGGATTATGAGAGGGAACAGGCCAGGCCAAGGGACCCCACTGGTACAGTATTGGGCCAAAGAGAGATGGGAGGTTGGCCAGCTGGGAAGGAACTGAGGAAGGGCTCTGGGGCATGTCCAGCCCATCTGCTAAGTCCGGATTGGCCAGAACCCAGCAGCAAGCTAACCTACCAGTCAGAGTGTCTTCCCCCTAGTGGTCAGTGCACATAATAGCAATTGGTCAACCAGTCAACTGTCTGCCCCCTGGTAGTCAATGCCCATCATAGTGAGCAGTTGAGCTGCCTTATAATATCATTAGCATATTATGCTTTGATTCGTTGAACAGCTGACCAGTTAACAGGACACTTAGAATATTAGGTTTTTTATTATACAGAATTTATCTATTGTAGTACATAATTTTATATAGTAAGTCATATAATTCACCTTTGGAATGATGTTATGATAAAAGATTATTAAAATAAATATTCTCTCTCTCTCTCTCTCTCTCTCTCTCTCTCTATATATATATATATATATATATATATATATATGATTTTGTATGTGTTAATATATTTAGTGAAAAATCAATTGGAAAAAAGCTTTAAAAGATACTAAATTTGTCTTATATTTAACTTAATTTTTCCATGTACTAGGTATAACTTACTATTGCTAAATCACCAGGAAAAGGTGCCTACATTCACTTTTTTACCACCATTCTCTTCAAAACCTACAATCTATGATAATATTGTCAGCTTTTTATAATAGCCACAGTAATCTTTGTCTTGTTTCAAATTCATTTAGTTCATTTAACTTTCCAGTTCCTAAACATGTATCATCCAATTATTTTTTAATTATAGGGAAAATATTTATCAAAAATAATTAATATGATATTAAGAAAAAATAAATATATAGCAAAGTTCTGTAAATCCCCAAATTCCAGATTTATAAAAATATCTAATTTCCCTTAAAGTCTTACACTGCCATTCAAAAAATTAAGAAAGTGGCTTATTTACTAAATTTATATAATGAGAAGAAAGATATAATGATTACATACTTATTTTTGTTACTACTTTTATTTTTGTTATATCATGCAGGTATTAATAAGTTAAATATAAAATGGTTTTTGGTGAAGAACTCTTTTGTAAAGATTGTAATATAATTATAGTTTAAGAGATGAATTGAAAATTAAATTGAGTATGTCATAAAGTGAATATAATATCTATTTATGTTATAATAGGAAAAGATTGAGTATCGCTATAGTTAAATAAGATATATCATCTATAAAATGGATTTACATTTTATAAAATAACAACCTACTTTGGTTATGAGGATGAAATGAGTTAATGTATTTTAAAACATTTCTGCCACAAAAGTAAGTATTCAATAAATATGGGGCTGGGCAAAAGAAGGTTTATAGTTTTGAGTACTAAAAACTCAGAGTTTATTCTTGTATTATTATTTATTAATTATTGTATTATGCTCCATATGAGCAACTACAAACCTTCTTTTGCCTACTCTTGTATAAGCTACTAATGTAAACTCAACACTTTTGTAAAAAAAAAATTTTTTTTTAAATCTCTTTTACTATTTTAGTAATGTCATCCTAACCACCACCAGAACTTATCTGAAATAATTTTATATGCACTTACAGCACCTAGATTTTTGTTTCTCTAACATTATGAAGTAGCTACATCTAGGCTTGACTTGAGGGGAGGGTAGTGGATCAATATAATTAGAAGAAAGCTGGAATATTTTAAAATATATTTCTGGTTAATAAGAGGACATAATTATTATTAAACTTTTCATTAATATTTATAATTAAACTCTGCTTATTCTTGAGTTATACTTTTACTAGATGCCCAGTGCACGAATTTGGCACAGGTGGGGTCCCTCGGTGTGGTCTGTTATCAGAGCCAATCTGGGCTGTCTCACCAGGTCCCTACTGGAGCAAACGGGCCTGCTGGATGGGGGAGGGAGGACCATGGGAGGTTGGCCAGCCAGCCCCCCAATCAGGGCTGATGGGGGCCAGCCATTGGGAGGAGGGACTGGGGGATGTCGGTGGGTGGGGAGAGATTGGCCAGCTATGGTGGCTGTGAGAGCACCCTGACTACCAGGGGAGAGCTTCTGAATTGAATATCTTCCCCTTGGTGGTCAGTGTGTGTCACATCAATTGGTTGTTCCTTGTCAAGTCATGAACTGTATGTGCTGGTACCAATGTGCTCACTGCAGCTGGGGGTGAGTATTTAATAGCTGTGACTAGTCTTTGCAGGAATCCTAGGAAGGCACAGTCATACAGACATGTAGGATCTTGACTTTGGGTAGTGAACACACAATGCAGATGATGTATTATAGAATTGTACACTTGCAACTTATGCAATTTTGTTAACCAATGTAACCCCAATAAATTCAATGAAAATATTTTTAAAAGGCATATAAGCTCTTCTAGTAAATATATTTCTTCTCTAAAGCATGTAGAAAACTTCACCTATGCTGCTGCCACTGCTGATTTTGGGAGGAAAATAACCCATTTTACATATAGGCTACTGTTAATCAGTGTATATGTCTCAGATTGTATAGTGAAAAGAAAAAAGGTATAAGCCAGTAATATTTGCATATCATGTTGTCTGAATTGCTGAAAAGACTCTATTGAACAGAGAAGAAATTAGGAGGATTATTTTGTATTAAGTTACTTTTTAAATCCATATTCTGAAAAGTATTAGGTTCTTTGATGCACCACATAATTATTTTCTAAAATAAAAACAATATACCTAGGCTGCTATCATGGCATATTTGGTGTATGTAAAGTACTTTTATAATCTCCTTAGCCAGATCTACTTTGAAAGACAGTATTTTGATTTTTCTAGGTCCTAGGTCAATGTTCTCCAAACAGATCCATTATCATTTCTTTCTTTCCTTTTGTCCTTCACACTCCTATAGTAGGGCGATTGCACTCTGATTAATTAGAAATAATATGTGATGAAGACTGTATAGAGAAATCTTAATTATTCCATTCTTTGGGATGTAATTTTAACTTAAAAATCATTTTGTGATGAATTATGTAGCCAATATAGTTACATATAAATTATTAACACAAAGATTCATGACTCTCCCATCTATATTTTATAATTTGTAATCCTCAAGAATTTAAATCAAGTAGGATTACTTACTAAGAAATAAAACTAAGATTTTTTCACCTTATACTCTATCCTCAATTTGGTGTAAGCCCTCATCACAAGTTAAACAATTGCAAGAGTTTTAAAATCAATACATTTGGTTAATTAGATATATAATCTATTTTAGAAAATGTATATTATTTTGAAATGAAAATATTTTTAAAAGGCAGGTAGGCTCTTCTAGTAAATATATTTCTTCTCTAAAGCATGTAGAAAACTTCACCTATGCTGCTGCCACTGCTGATTTTGGGAGGAAAATAACCCATTTGATATACAGGCTACTGTTATCAGTGTATATGTCTCAGATTGTATAGTGGGGGAAAAAAGGTATAAGCCAGTAATATTTGCATATCATGTTGTCTGAATTGCTGAAAAGACTCTATTGAACAGACAATAAATCACACATGGTATCTTTTCTCTAATAAAATAATTGGAACAACTGGTTAGGAAGTTCTAGTCAGAATTTGAAATATTAGCATTTCAGAAGCATTTCTTTGGTTAACTACCATTAGCAGAAGTTTTATACTATGCAATTTTATGTCCAGAATATTCTATAGCAAATACACGTTAATAAACTGTAAAAGAATAGAGGCAGAAAGTAGATATTTTAAAAAGCAGACAGAATTAGAAGTCTTAGTTGGGATTCAGGAATCTGTATTTTAACAACTCCACTAGGTGATTCTCATCATGAGAGAAGTTTGGGAAACACTGCTCTAGTATATAAATAATCATTTCAGTGTATAAAGATTATTTTTGCTAGATTTCAAAAGATATTTGAGTTCTAAAACTATCTGCTTTCATGAATAAGATTTTTTGTTGTTGTTGTTCCAGGCTAAAAGGTTGTGTATTTTAAGAGGACAGCCTTGACTGGGCTGCTCTGTTGGTTAGATATGCCAAATTTTCAGGTCTGATCCCTGGTTAAGGCACATACAAGAATCAACCAATGAACACATAAATAAGTAGAACAACAAATCAAACAGTCTTTCTCTCACTCTCTGGCTCTTTCTTGCCTCTCTCCTTAAAATCAATTTTAAAATTTGAAGAGGGCAGAGATTTGGGGGAATTTCAAAATCCCTCAAGAGGAAAGGCAATGTTTTTCTATTTCTAATCCTTACCAAGATTTTTCTATTGTTTTAAATTTAGAGGTTTTATGCTTTTGCATAACTAAACTTTGAAATTACATATATGCACATGGGAAAAAGGCATATAAACTTTACTCACAGGCAAACTGAAGTATGGCCTCTCTGCTAAGAATACTTCCCAAAGTGTTGGCTGCTAAACACTGGTAATGGCCAGAATCTCTTGCTTCACTCGGATTGCTTATAATGAAGGTCCCGTCGATCAAACTGTAGCGATAATCACTTTCCAAATCAATTTCTGTTCCATTTCGAAGCCATCTAAGGAAAAATCAGAAGACAAATTGTGAAAATGACTGGAGGCATTATAATTCTCCCTGGGAGTGTCAGAATTTCATTGAAGGGAATTTTTAAGACTTAACGAAAAATAAGTAACAGTGAATTTCTACCTGTAATTGGGGACTGGATTGCCACGAACTTCACAATTCAGTGCTACTTTCTTTTCATCAGAATCAGTTGGAAAAATTATATCATCTGGTTCTTGCACAAACACTGGCCCATAGTCCACACTTTCTGTAAGGACCAAGATAGATACATTTTAAAATTTCTTGAAATACCAAAGACATGTTTGGTTCTTTTTCTCAATTATGTTTGCATTCAAAGTTCTCACTCTTTCCTTGTACTAAGGCATATTATTAAAAGAAAGTATTAGCTATGAAATTATATTGTTTTAGTAGATTGCAGATATTTAAATGGATTTTTGTAGTTAACTGAGAATTCTCATAAAAATAGGATATATATATATATATATATATAATAGAAAACAAGCACTTCAAGCATTACTTTTGTATATTTTAAAATGTATGTCTTTATATTCATCTAAAACAGAGTATTTTATGTAAATAATATAAAACAAAAACATTATTTTAAAAACCTAAAAGTTGTTAAGCTCTTAGAATATTAAAAATAATATACAATAAAGATAAAAGATATGAATTAATATTGCATTACTACCTGGATACTACTGATATAAAAAACATCGGCCCTTATCCATTCTTTATATATTCCTTTTTTACTTATTCAATCAAGCATTACTTAGTGCTGATAATGCTGAAGTACAGGGAGAAATCGTGTAATACAAAAACATATATTGTCATGGAATAAATGAAATATGCCCTCAAAAATTTAAATAACTGAATAAAAATGTCAAAACTAATGTTCATCAGTAAGTATTAAAGAAGGTAAATAGGAGACCAGAAAAAAACATAAAAAAGGAGTACAAAAGGAAGAATACTTAAACTTACTAAGTGCCTACTGTATACCAGATACTAGATTCCATCTCATTGAATTAGTTAATACTCAGAGAAATTGTATAATAAAGGTAATTTTAAACTAACAAAACTTTCATGGAAAAGTAGAAATGGATACAGGCTCCATATGTCTGGTTGGTTTTGAGGAAGACTATTCTGCTAGAGAAGTGATGGGTAAATGTGCTGTGGGAGTACAAGTCATGGTAGCCTGCGTGTGAGGATTTATAGAATTATATGCATACCTCAGGTCTACAGTGCCCTGAATTGTGAACCTAGCAAAAAAAGTAAAAAGTTTTTGCTTTATATTTAATAATCATGAATTTGATTGCATAACCTTAGATCAAGATTCTCACCTTGGTAAATTTTGAGATATTCTGTGTTGTGAGACTGTCCTGTGCTTTATTAGATATTTCCCATCATCCCTGGCCTCTCCTCACTAGATTCCAGTAGTGCTTCTCCTCAACAAGTGATAATAAGTAACATCTCCAGACAATGTTAAATATCCTCTGGTGTCAAAATTACACTCTTTTAAAACCACTGCCTTAGGAAGATGAATAGGGGAAATTTTAGAAAAGCAGTATTTCCAATGTCTGTACGAAACAATTAAAAGTTTACTTGGTCTGTGGATAACCAAAAGAAAATATCAAAATACTATGCAAAAATAAGTGTCCCAGGAAACTTGATCTTTAAAAAAAAGTTAACTTAAAAATATGTATACTTTCATACTTCAAATATAGATAAAGTAATTTTCCTTATTTAAATGCATAAGTCTATTCTTCTGGGGCAATGAAAATAAGTGTCATGATGTTCTAAACATTCATCCAATAAAAGCTGAGCACTCACAATGAATAGAGGATGAGAAGCATTTTCTTTGAGCCCTAGATAACCTAGCTGAGGTTCTTTATCTTAACTCCTTAACTCACAACAAAAACATATTATGAAAATAAATGAAATGTATTTCTCCGCACCAAATTATACCAACATTGCTGACACTTTTATTTAAAAATGAGGAAAATAAGTGATTGGATACATAAATAACCAGAGAAAATTATTCTCAAAATATTATAATTGTTTTTGCATCATAATTAATTTAAAAATTTGGCAAAGCACATGAAACCTCATTAAACTCTCAATTAGAGTTAAACTGCACAATCAAGTTATAAAAATAATCTTTATACACTGAAATGATTATTTATATACTAGAGCAGTGTTTCCCAAACTTCTCTCATGATGAGAATCACCTGGTGGAGTTGTTAAAATACAGATTCCTGAATCCCAACTAAGAAGTGCTAAGCTAGAATTTTTTGGGAACTTGTAGGTAAAATTGTATACTTAACTTAGAGCACTAGGGCTGACTTTTAATGGTTCACAGCAAGGGAGCCACTCCGCTATGTATGAAACCCCAACCCAGAAGCAGGCCTCTATGAATGGTTTAGCACCAGGGGCCAATGGGGAGCCAGCCGGCCAGGGGAAAGGGCCGCAGGAATGCACTGAACATCAGGGGGCAGCCCTTGCATTTAGTGTTTGCCCTCTAGTGGTCAGGAGCATCGTAGTGAGTCATTGACTGGTCAACAGGTCTTTCCGCTCATTTGGACATAGTGGTTGCTTAAGCTTTTATATATATAGATGATAATTGCCTAGGATATATAAAATTAACATTTAATAAATGTATTTTTATATATCTATATATTACCAAACTCATGAGTTTTAGAGTCAGACATACTTTGGTTTCAATTCCAGTACCATCATTTTCTAGCCTTGAGCTAACTACTTTTATTTTTGCTGTTCAATTTATTAATTATCCTATATAATAAAAGGGTAATATGCAAATCAACTGAACGGCAGAACGACCAGTCCCTATGATGGTCACTGACCACCAGGGGGCAGATGCTCAATGCAGGGGCTGCCCCCTGGTGGTCAGTGAGCTCCCACAGGGGGAGTGACTCTAGTTCTGAGCCAGGTTCCTAGCTGGGGAGCACTGCAGTGGTGGGCCTCCGCGGTAGAGCTAAGGATGTCTGACAGCTTAGGGTTCCAGACAGAGAGAGGGTACAAGCCAGGCTGAGGCATATCCCTCCACACCCTAAGTGCACGAATGTTGTACACTGGGCTTTCAGTAGATAACAATGTCTGGTTACAGAGTTATAATGAGGATCAATGGACATTAACACTCATAAATAAATACATAGTAAATCATAAGTACTCAATAAATGTATATGCAATATGGTATGTAATACAACAACCATGTAGCCAAACTAAGCGCTCCCCTCCCCCATTTTATAGATGACAAAACTGAGGCTGAAGTAAATTAACTGAATGTATATAGCAAATACATGATGGACCTGTATGCAAATACAAATCCAGAAATGTTGGTTATCTAGAACCTAATTACCACTATTACAATTTACAAAGCACTTTCATAGTATTTCATTCACTGAGCTGAACATTATAATTATTTCTAATTCAAAGATGTAAATTGCGAGGTTCTTAGTGACTTCTTCAAAATTAACCACAGACTAAATGGTTGATTTTAACTAAGGTTCTTTGGTGTCAAATCTTATGTTCTAAAGAATGTCAAAACAGACAAGAGGAATAAAAGTTTGTCATTCTGGAGAATAGCAGAGGGGAAAGACTTGCTAAATTATGGACTGAAAAACAAGTGACTAATCTGAACAACATTTATTCTATCATGACTGTCCATACTCTGTATCTCTTTATTGTTCATTGTCAACACCAAAAGCATCTTAGTGTGTATTCTCTCATCCTTTCTCTCTCTCATTTTTCTTTTAGAAATAAAGTTCATTGTAAGGGGTGAAAAAACATGTGTTTAGGTAGAGTACACCAATTCCCAGCAAAGAGTAATCAATTATGATATTATCTCTGAGAATATTATTGATTTATCTATAATAATAAGAGGTTAATATGCTAATTAGACCAGATGTCATTCCAGATGTCTTTTCTGACAAAGTCAGGCCCAGCGGGAAGCCAGCCAGATCCCAGGTGCCTGTGGGCAGTCCACGGGAAGCCAGCCTGGGTCCCAGGTGCCTGTCAGCAGCCAGAGAAGGGAAGAAGCCCTGGTTCCAGGTGCCAGAGGGAAGCTGGTGCCAGTAGCAGGGGGAAGGAAGGCCTACTCTTGCAGGAATTTTTGTGAATCAGGCCTCAACTTCTTCTATAATCATAAGTCAATCTATTAATAAAGATAATTCATTTATTGCTTAAAGCAATATCCTTATACTTTGCAATTGTTAGCTTGATGGATCTGTAACTTGAGTAGATAGACTTCAAAATTTACATGATGGTAAATCAACACAAAGATCATGATAATCAATAAGTCAAAATCTTTACTGAACATGAAATCTTTCAGATAGTTGTGTAACAGGCAGAGGCCATCACACTTAATGTTAATTTTCCATAGGGTTAATTCTTTTGAGTGCGTTTTTTTTAAACAGACTTTTAATGAACAGACTACAAATATCTGTAGATGGCTGAACTTAAAAAATGCTAGTGGTTATTATCTGTGAAATATTGGATTCTGTCAAGTGTCTTCAGTTTTGAAATGATCTTAGTTTCTCTGCTACAAAGAATGATGGAATCAGCATCCTTTTTCTCACTTCCCCTCACTTTATTTCCTAAACTTTTTCAGTTTTGTTTGTTATTCACAGTTCACATGGTTTTTTATTAACAGTTATTACCTATTATGATATTAAACATTTATTATATCTTTTCATTATGGGTTTCCATTTCTGCTTCCTATTTTTCCCCAATTTAAATATCCTTGTTATATGGTTAAGAATATAAATTTGTTGTCTTTATAACTAAAAGAAAACTTGACTGGGTATTAAATTAGGCATTCACTATGAATGACTGTAGAAATCCTTTCACACTCTCTCTCTGTTCACGTTTAAAATTACCATGGTGATGGCTGAATTTAGACTGACTTTCTTCACTCCCCAGGGACTGGAGTTTATGCCTGGATGCCCATAGGCCTTTTTCCTCATCCTTTAATTTCAAGAATTTTGCTAGATATATATTATGTCATTTTGTGTAGCCTGTTGAATTTTTTGAAGAACATGTATTTTTCCTTTGTTCTGTTCACCTTATATCACCTAGGCATAGCTTGGATTTATTAATCTTATTTATCATCTCTGTAAAAACTTTTATACTTTTCATATTTGTTTGAATTTTTTAAAAAATGGTTGCTGTGTTCCTATCTTTTCAGTTGCTTCTATATTTCACTATTGGTTGCTATGGGCCTATCATTTCAGG